CTAGCCAGAGCAAAGGCCTGGGTCCCAGGTGCCAGAGGAAAACTGGTGCTGGAAGCCTAGGGAAGGAAGGCCTATTGCACAAATCTCTTCATGCAATGGGCCTCTACTATATATATTAATCCAGAGGATATTTTTTCCATTGATTTTTTAGAGAGAGTAGAAGGGAGAGAGAGGGGGGAAAAAAATCAATGTGAGAGAAACACATTGATTGGTTGCCTCCCTCATGCGCCCCAGGGATGCAGGAATTAATTCTGAAACTGAAGTAGGTTATCCTTGACCAGAATTGAACCTGGGACCTTTCCATCTGCAGGCCAATGCTCCAACCACTGAGCCAAACAGGCTAGGGCTGCAACAATATTTTCTTTCTCAGGTGCTCTTTCAGAATCTTGCTCCTCCTTTATCTCATCTCCTTCGACCTTGATAGACCTCTGCTGACAGCAGAAGTGACCTCTGAGCCTAGGATCTGAAGGTCAATCCTTTCTGCCTGACTCTCTTGCTCGGGGTTTCACCCAGAGAACCCGGACACCATGCTGTGAGAAAGTTGAAGCCAAGTGGAGAAGAATCTAAGTCCCTGGCTCTGAAACCTGGCTGAGCTCCCAGCTGATAGCCAGCACCAGCTTGCAGGCCATGGGAGTGAGCCCTCTTGGGAAAGTAGCTACACCCCTCAATAGGGCACCGAGCAGACACCGGATTCAGACATAAGCCTGCTGTTGTAAGAAGCCACTATGTTTTGGGGTGTTTGTTATCAGTAATAATAATCAGAACATAAAATCAAGGGACATTCCTGCCACAATTGTCCTGGGAGCTGTGTTTTTCCAAAAATCCCCTATGTGCTCCTCCCTCTTCTTTTTTTCTTCTGTTGGTAGTTGAGGGAAGCATTAACTAGACCAAGTGATAAAACGCTTCTAGCTTAAAGGAAGCAACTTTTTTCATACTTGCTTAATGCATTTTAGGATGTCATTACCAAATAATATATGATAATTCTTCTCTTTTCCCTTGTGTGTCTGGGATTCATTTTTGGAGGCATGGTGGTCCAAAATGTCTCATCACTAAAAGGCAACGGATACATACATTCTCTAAAGGTGTTTTCCATGACAAAACAGGGAAGTCAGTTGGCCAAATTGCATGCTTGTAGGCTATTCATCCTTTCCTACATAAAAGAATCAAATATAGGGTCCAAAATACAGTTATTTTAACTGTTGCAACAGGCAAGGACTTGCCCAATTGTTCCTTGAAGTTTCTGTTCTGATTTGGGCACACAGAAAGATTAAGTGATTACACTTAGAAACCCCACATTGCCTTCAGTCTTTAAGGGCTTGTTAAGTCTTCTGTTGCCTTTTAGTTTAACCTTGTTTCATCAAACCAGTGCAATACAGATCAAGGCCAGGATAAATATTTGTGAGTTGTCTGAACTTTGTTCTGTGCCCTTAAATACTCTTAGGAAATCAATTTTGGACTAAAGAAGCTTGAAGATTCTGTCACTAAAACTGGACTGATTTGGGGCCAGTTGTGATAAGAACACAAGAGTAAGAGTATTTGGAATTTCAGTCTGCAGTACCTTCTGGAAAATGATTATTACTTCGTGAGAAACTGCATATAAATGTATACTCAAAGTAATTCTTTTGAAACAGCTTAAGGTCTAAACTCTTAATTTTTTTAGGTGACTTTTCAAGCATATTTACTTATAGCCTGCTATCACATGATCTGCCCTTACTTTTCTATCTCTCCCTCCACCTCTTTCTCTTTCTCCCCCACCTGAACACCTGCCCTCCCTCTCCCCCCGCCCCCCCCCCCTTTTCTCCAGAGGAATCATATTGAGGAATTGAATTTCTCTGGGGCCTTTTCACTGATGTAATCCTAAAAGGGGAGTGTGTGCAAGGGTCAGGGCCAGCTGGACAGCTGCTAGTCACTCCATGGATCCTTAGGAAAATCAGTTTTGTAAGTTATGTGCCCATAAGTCCAAGAAAGGGCAACTTCTCTGTGGGAAGGGAGAATGGAAGTTTCCAGACAGTTATCTCTCTGGCAACTCACCAGCTGGGGCCTTCTGGCTCTCTCGTGATTTGGCTGAGATTTTGGGTTTGATTTGGCAGATCACTTAACCTCTGCTTCCTCCACTTCCTCAGCTGTAAAATGGGGTCATCACTTCCCACTAAACATCACGGGACTTTCATAAAGACAAGCAAATACTTATGGCAAGCCGGTTACAAAAAGAGCTAACGCTTCAAAGCTCAATTCAACTACTTCCCATCAGGTGACTTTAGGTGTTATTGGCCTTTCTCTGCCTCGGTTCCTTCATTGAAAAACAAGGATCATAATAGGATCTATCTCAAAGAGCTGTTTGAGGATTAAGTGATATAATATTGCATATGAAGTACAGCATCTGAGAGTCTCAATAAACGTTAATGGTTTCACCTCCCTGCACCTTATTTCAGCTACTCTGTGTCACCCACCCATGACCAGAAGGCTGGAATTATGAGAATCTTGAATGAAAGGCAAAGACTCTCACTTTATAGACAAGAAAAAAAAAAAAAAAAATCAGTGAGGCTGGCTGACTTGCCCGGGGCTGTCTGATTCATTAGTAGAGAGCAAGAGTTAGAGTTCAGGTCTCCTAATTATTGGGTCTGGGCAAGTCTCCATTTTCACTCCTTTGAAGGCTGTGCTGGTGTTTCTATCCCCAGATAATTCTTTCTCTGTCTGATTTTAACCCTAAAGTCAGTTTATACCATCAGCCAGTGCATCCCCTAAATCTCCCATTCTCCCCACCCCCCACCCCACCCCTCAAACCTGTAGAAAACCTCCTTCCCAGAAAGGTGCCCCTAACCCTGGAAGGCCAGGAAAGGTAACACTTTCTCCAAGACCTGAGGAAGCCACTAATGGGGACAGCAGGTGAGGAGGGAGCGGAGCTGCCACTGCTGGCTAAGGTTGCCCTAGTAACCGCTTGCAGGCTCCATTCAGGAAGTGAGCCCAACTCCAAGATGCAAAATGATCGCCTTCCCGTGGCTCCCACAAGCACAAAGGAACCAAAGGGATAGAGGGATGGCCAGGAAGGGAGGCCAAGGTGAGGTGGGGGCCCACGCTGTCAGTTACAACCTTCCACTTCCCACAGAAGAAAAAAGAGAGAGAATAGCTCTTTGAATCCTTTGACTTGTGTGAACCATAAAAACCACCCATTTTAACAGGAGTCCTTTTGTGGCCGTGGAGGGAGGCAGGTCCCCCTCTGTTCACCAGCCTTCTGAAACAATACACCAGGAGGGGGGGCGGGGGTGGGGGAGAAATCCCAAGCATTGCCACTTTATGGGGGCCCGAAACTCTTCTGGCTCCCTCTTTTACTGATGACAAAGACCATTTGCTACCAATCTATTGGAAACTTTTATTTATTTTTTTTTCTTCACAGCTTGAGCTGTTTAAATGCAGGGAGCTCCCTCGCCCCAAATCGATGTCAGACACTTGCTGAATGGGCCAGGCTCAATTATGTTCCCTCCGCAGGTTCAGCTCACACTGTGACCCTGCATGGCTTCCTGCTATTCATATGTGTTACTTCCCCTTTGTGGTAATGGCTTGTGGCACTCGGCCAGAAAACATTATTAATTTCAGAAGTGGACTGACAAACAACAAACCCACAGTGAACGGAGAGGAAGTGCTGGGGAGGCCAGCTGTCGGCTTGAGCAGAGCAGTAGGAACTCAATGTATGCAAGTTTGAGGAGGAAAGATGATAATCCACAGAGAGGAAATGCACTAAAATTATCCACAGCCCATGGTAAAGAAAAAAGAAAGAAAAAAAAGAGAGAGAGAGAAACCAGAACAAAGGAAGGGGGGGAGAAGCACACAGCTACTTGAGCTGCAGCTGGACAGGAAATTGCTAGCGCTGCTTGCAAATCCCCACTTTGAACAGCCAGTCTAGGGAATGCCAGGAGCGGAAACCGTTCAGAACTGGATTAACACGGGCCAAGTGGAACTGCAACCCACTTCTCCTTTCTGAGCTCCTGCTGGCTTGGAGAAGCCGAATGGGAGACTTGGTCGTGTTCTGTGCACTTGCCTTTTATACATGCTTACTCACTGAAAGCCCCACTGGACAGCGAGCTATGGTTGACATAAAACCAGGGCCACATGCCTACCATGAAAATTACCAAACCACCCAACTGGCATCTGACATGTGCCATGTGGGTGAAAAGCTCATTTTCTTCCCAACTGCAGAGAAAGGGACTAAAGCGCATTTGAAGAGAATACAAAATGTAGTTATTTTGTAGTTCTTTTTATTTCTCACGCCTGCCCTTTACTTTTATTTTTGCCTTGTGTTTTGTTACATTTGGGACAAAGAGAGGGGATGTCCCAAGCAAATGACAAGGCAGTAATCCTTTACCTTGAAAAAACTGTTCAAAATAACCTCCGTTAGGCTCAGTTGTGGTTTCTGACCTACATTCTAAACCAGTTAAGCAGCAAGTACCTTAGAACAGGGGTGACAAAGCTTCAACTAGAATGCCAATGTAAAACGCTCAGGCCAAATCCAGGCTCCAGTGAGGAAGCTTGGATACGCTTTGCCACACACGAGAAAAGGAAAACACCACTTCTGATTCATGTTATTCCAGTTTAAGATTAATTTGCAAGTAGAATTGCCAGATAGTAACTGACTGGAAAAATAATTATCCCTTCTTTCTCCTTGGCATATGCATTAGTGAGAAGATCCTGATGGAGAAAGGAGAGGTTAACGCTGTTACTGTCATTTTAATTCTGGTGCTCCTGGGCCCCTTTGTTGACTTTTTCATTAATATCTCATTTTATACCCCAACATTTCCTGTGAAATTATTATAAGCCAGAACTATATATATTCACAGAAAATATTGACCATACACATGATATAATCAGTCCATTCTATGATGCCATCCTTATTTGGAAGCAAAAGATTAAGCTTTTACAAGCCAGTGTCAGTCCCAAGTGAAAAGTACCTAAAATGTCACTTCACATTCAAGTACAATTAAGAATTAAAAAAAAAAATACACACATTCAATAGCCAAAATAGTTATTTATTAATAATTTAAGGTTTTACATTCTTATAATAAATTGCATCTCAAAACTTTACACCATGAACATAATGAACCACCTAACTCTCCCCCTCTTCACAATCATATGCACTTCACCTATCAAAGGGGTACCCATGCTCACACACACACTTCCAGTTGTATACAAAATTTTTTAAAAGGAAAGAAACCAACCCAAAAGTATTGCATTAGAGGTTGTGACGCTCCCTGAAGAATTTTGTACAGAGGTAATATACTGTTTAGCACAGCTGAAGTTTAAAAACAAAAAAAGAAACACAAACGGGTGAGCCCATTGATTTTGGTGCCTTTCCAAGGTATCCCCTTTAAGACAACACAAGCCAAACTATTTACAAAGGTAAGGCATAGTCAACTACATTAAGGGGTTGGGGAAAATCACAAGGAAGATATATGAAAGATACTGAAGACTGCACCATAAAAAGGTCTCAGCGACTATAGTGTCCGTGAAAATGTCATTCAGAATTGGTAAAGTTCAGCATGCTGCAAATATATCCTTTGGATTAGAAAAGAGCAAAGGGTTCCATTTTTTTTTGTTGTTGCAAGAAGTGGTATACCGCTTTCTTCCTTTGGACAATTTCCTTTAAACCCATCAAAGAAGAAACAAACACAGTTCAAACAAACACTGCCAAGTGATTTAAGATCAAATATTTACAATAATCAAATGGAGTTTCAGATTTATTTTATCTATTATTAATGCATGTGGTTTTTTTTGCAAACTGATACTACAGAGCTGAAACCTGTCTTTGGCTCCTCTATATGCAAAACTAATCAGTCTTCACTGAAGACAACACAGTCAGTTCCAGATGCAAAAAGAAACAGTGGTACAAAGCCCCAAAGAACACATGCTCCTATCCTACCATTTGGTCCTACCCTATTTATCTGGAAGTCCTCAAATTCCAGTCCCTGCATGGGTAGGCTGTACACATGGGTGTGGAGCAGACCTACTGCCTGTATCTATACAGCAAATTCTGTTGTTTCCATGGAGAATGGAGCAAATCTCTCCCTTTGTAATAACCAATTCCACATGTGATAACCTTGTCTAACAGACAGCGGGTGTCATTTGGACACCTGGGGCCACAGACAAAGAAAGCAGCTCAGCTGATGCTGCCAAGAAAAACTGCTGAAGGAAAGGACACATCCCAACGCAGAGGAGTGTGGGGCCTTTCACGTGGATTGCCGGGAGTCCACCTGGTAGACGTTCTGGTTGGAGGGGGTGGTGAAGTAGAGCTGCTGTGAGGGGACCCGGTTATCACAGGGGCTGCTGAGTCCCAGGGTCCTCTCGAAGTCCAGCAGTTGACCCATGAAGTTGAAGTTAGGGGAGATGTTGGATTTCTTCATCTTGACAATGTCATAAGCATCGTTCATGGACAGATTGAGCTTCTGCATAAGATAAGCCACGGTCACGGTGACTGAGCGGCTGATGCCAGCCAAGCAATGCACCAAGACGCCGCAGTTTTTGCCCCGGGCTTCATCTGTAAACACAAGAAAGGCAAGCTTTCAGTAGACCGAAAACCACCCTTTGTGAATGATCAGTCTAAAAGATGATTTTTTTTTTTTTTTTAAGGATTCAGAAAGTAATCGTGTGTGGCAGTTTAGCCCTGCAGGCACAAAAAAAAAAAAGTATCATTTCGATAAAACATGTACACTGGGCACAATTACATATTTCAGATGTTTTCTGAAAAGGGAGCTTTTGTATTAAGTTTCTGCCAACAAAAAACTCCTTAATGTGTGCATTCTTTGCCTCAGCATGTGAATACCAGAAACCCTGCAATATGGTAGTGAATGCCTTTTATACAGACAAGCAGACTGCAAGGGTCTATTAAATTATTCCCCAACTGTTGTGCAGCTAACAATGGAGGTATTCAGGCATTTTAAGAGAGAGAGGGAAGTCACAGGGGACAGCCCATTAGGAGGAACAGGATGTCGACATGGCCTGAAAATGAGTTCCTTTGTAATAGGAAATGCATTACAATGCCTGGAGATTCGCTCCTCCAGGCTTCCAGCCCACAGTCCTTCCTGCTGGGCTCAGGTTACCCGCACTGTCTCACTCTGCACTGGTATCACAGTAACATTCAACTGGATTTTAACATCTAAGCACCCGATGTCATAAAATCACTCCCAGGTCTTTTAAAATCCTAGAGCAAGGCTAGAATCCCTGTCTACCATAAGTATTTCTTTCTAGCCTTCCCACCCATTCCAAAGATTGTCCGAATATTCGGTAGTCTGATTGTGAATGCCACCCTCCCCATTCTCAAAGAGTTAAAAGAAAGGCTCAGCCGGCATTTCAAATACACCTGTGGTCAATATAGCCTTAGCAAAAGGTGCTTTTTTCTTAGCAAGATGCACCAGAACTAAGAAGGCCCTCGGAATATTAGAGACCTGTAGACTGACAACATGAGCAAGCAGCGAGAAAGACTGAAAGCTTAAAAGTCTGGGAGCTAAGACTTTTGCATTTAAAAGTGAGCGAGTACTGTGAACGAGTCTCACCTATGAAAGAAATGGCCTCAGGGAAAAACTGGGACAGGTTTTGGCTCCAGTGATCCGAGATGGGGATCTGCTTGTATTTAAACTCTCCTGCGTTCTCAAAGAGATTCGGCAAGTTGGGGGTGACGTTCAGGATGTACTTGATGCCAAACTCCTCCAGCACGTCCAGGTTGGTGGAGTCCTTGGCGCAGCCCAGGTAAAGGAAGGGCAGGATCTCCACGGGGAAAGAAGGCTGGCTGTTGGACAGCGGGCTGCCGTCCGAGTCCGTGGCACTGTTGGGGTCTCGGTCAAGGTCAGACTCAATGTCTGAGGAGGAGTCAGAGCTGATCCGCAGGCCCCCGAGCCCCAGCACCGGCAGCGGCGGCGAGCTGCTGCTACTCGAGCCGTCTAGGTTGGTCTCGCAGTGCAGGGCGAACTCGGCTTGGAACTTACTGAAGCCACCTGCCAGGACGAGAAAGGCAACCGTGTAACTCGAGACCCCGTAGTAGTTTTCACAGCTTTGAAAGCCGCAGCCGGGCGCTGGACACACCATACAGCACCTTACGACCCCCCGACACACGGCACCAGACGTACAGACACTTAAGTGTGCATGCACCCTTGGAAATGGGACGAACGGGCCCGCCTCCCCCGGGAGCCCTTATTTCTTTTGAATCCGGAAATGCACAAAATGGCAACTTTCCTGAATATTCTGAGGGGCTAGAAAAATGCCAACATGCACCCCAACGACCTATCCCACCCTGCAAATTTTAACTCAAAAATCGAACGGCAGAAAGCAAAGCAAGGTGGGGCATATCCTGCTGGTGCCCGCTCCCCGGAAGCGGGTGAATGCAGCGCCGGGCTGGCTCCCCGGTGTGGACGCGCCAAGTTCGCAGCCCGCACCCCCCAGCCCTGCCCGGCTCCCCCACACCTACCTTCCAGGTAGAAGGCCCGGCAGCCCTCGTCCTTGAGCTTCTTGAGCAGCAGCCCCAGCACCGACTCGCCGCCCGTGTTCTCGTTCCAGTCGCTGCTGCTCTCGTCGTACAGCACCACCGTGTCGGTGCCGCAGCGCCGGGTGAAGCGGTCGCGGTCCTCGCCGCGCGTGAAGAGCGCGTGCACGGGCAGGTTGCCCTTCTGCAGGCGCCGCAGCATGATGCCCGGGATGGCCACGTTGATGGCCGACTCGATGTGTGACGACTCGTACAGCTCCTGCGGCCGGCAGTCCATGAGCAGCAGCCGCTCGTTGCCCAGCTCCAGCTGCTCGTTGAGCCACGCCACCGTCTTGCTGATCGCCATTTCCGACGCGAAGGGCACGGGTCTGAGCGTATCTATCATGGGGGTCGAGCTGCGAGAGAGGGTGGGGTGCCTAGCAGACGCCCCGCGGGGCAGGCACGGCCGCCGCTCCCGGAGCGGGGTCGGGTTCCGCCTCGCTCTCCCCGAACCGGGTCGGAGGCGGCTGGGGACGACGAGACCGGAGCGCAGCCGCCGGTCTCCTCTGCAGCCGGCTGCAGCCGCTCGCGTTCGGTGTCAATGAATCGCTCTGAATGAAGCTGCCCAGACAGTTTTGTTTCTCCCCAGTGAATGAAATCCAATTAATTTGGACTCCGGGCTACTAAGAGGGGAGGAAGAAGGAGAAAAAAAAAAGTCCAGCGGCTCCTAATCCCTCCCTCCAAGGCTGCACACCTCAAATCCACCCGAGCGTCTGTCTCTCTCCTCCGGTTATTCAAGCCTTGCACACTTTCTCCCCGACGCGCTCGGACTCAGCCCTCGCACACCCCCTGCGCGGGGCAGCTCCTCAATGGATACAAACAGCGAGCGTCTCAATGGATACATTCTCCCGGCCAGCCAATGAGCGCGCTGCGGAAGGGGCTGTTGCCGTGGAGACGGACCGGCTGGAACAGGTTGTGTTGATGAATTGTTAATGAGTTTGTCATTCACAAAAACGGAAAGGAATTTCCGCTCCGGATAAGCCCCAGTGCAAACAAGCTGCCACAGCGGCCTCGGCGGGAGGAAGGAGGGAGAGGAGGAGGCGGCGGCGGAGGAGCGGGGCACACAAACCAGGGCACTTCAGTTGTCTCATGTTTCCTTCTGTTGAGAGTTCGCACTCGGCGTCGGAACTTTTGCGCACAAATGGTGCAATTAGCGGGCACAAAAGCCCTTGTTCGTGACGCCTGTGCTCGCAAGCTAGCTTTTAGGAAAACTTGCACTGACTTTTTTTTTTTCCTTTTCCTTTTTATTCCCTTTAAACTCACTTGGACTGGAGTTCGCCTTACCCCTCCTCCCCCGCCCTCCTTTCGGCGGCGTGACATTTGTTCGCCGGTTTAAAAAGCCCAGTTCTGTGTGCTCTGATGTTCTTTCAGCCGAGGCTGTCAGTGTTGGGGCTGCTGGGCTGCCTGGGCTTTAGTGACCGGTGAGGTGTTAAATGTTAATCCGACGTCTTTGGAAACAAACCAGGGTTATATGGAAACATTTTCAAGCAAGCAAACAAGTATCTGTTGTCCAGATAATAGGCATCAAGCTTTTTTTTTTTTTTAATAGCGTTTTAATTATGATTTTTAAACAGTGGAGGCGGCAGAAACAAACTTGTTGGATAGTCTGGTGTTTTTACCCCCCCCTCCCCAGCGGCGTGGAGCGTGAGGAGCCAGCACCGTTGTTCCTGTCTCCCACCCTGCGCGGAGGGGGCGGGGGGCGCGCTGGTTACTGATTTCTGGGCAGCAAGCTCGGCTTCCGAAAAAGACACCTGCGCGAGGTGCACTAGGGCACACGGTGCCCTTGGGCTGTCCCACCACCTTGGAGGCCCGGGAAAGTCCTCCCTCAAGGCCTGCAGGTTGTAGGGATAAATTGGGCTCGGCGAGCAGTTCCTGTGTAGACAGAGAGGCAAGTCAAAGGGGGACCTGTCAGCCGCCCCCCCCCCCCCAACTTCCCTGCGTGGACCGCAGCCCCCTCCCCTGCGTCACGGGGCTCTGGCAGAGGACAGGCCGCGCCTGCGCATTGCACTCCTAGTTACCATTCCCCCCCCCCCCTCTTCCCCCCAACACCCTCATCTCCCAGCAAGATGGGCGCCGTAGGTGGGGCGACTCCGCTAATGGTGCAGGGGGGACTGTGGGCTCCGTAGCGGCCCAGGGAGGGTGAGGGGGGCTGCATGCTTGGGTCCCCTGGCGCCTAAGGAGGGCTGGGAGTCCCGGGGAACGTCTCTGCAGCTCTGCAGAGCCAACAGGTAACCGGGCGGGGGCGGGGGGTGCTGGCCCGGCCTCCCAGCAGCGCTCGGCCGAGGCGCCGGGTGGGCCCGCGGGGGGCCGGATGGAGGCGGGGCCCGGCCGGGGCCTCGGCGACCGGGAGGCGCAGTCTGGGGCGCGGAGCTCCATTGTTACATAAAGACGCCCGGGCCCGCCTCTCCTGAGCGGAAAACCACCTGTGTGCGGCCGGCGGCGCCGGGGCGGGAGGGGGAGCCGAGGCCGGAAGGCGCGGGCCCCGATCCGGCCCCCCCTCCCCTCCCCAACCCCGGGCGGAGAAGAGGCCGCTCATTGTGCGGCCGCCGCCGGGGAGGCGGAAGCGGGGGCGGCGTCTTGGCCGGCGGCGGCGGCTCCGAGCGCCTCTCCCGGCGCGCCGTGCCCATCGCCTGTGCGGCGGAGGGCACCTGAGGTCGTGGGGTCCCCCCGCCGCCAGACTCCCGCACTCACGGGCCAGCCCGCTGCTGCCCCGATCCAATTTGCATTTTTTTAGTCACCGCCTCTTGCCTGGTTTGGGGAATGGGAGCTAAAAAAAGCAGGCTGCGAGGCCCAGGTTGCCAATTTTGGAGCTGTGCCGCAGGCAGGCCGCCCCTGGAGGAGCGTGTACGACGAAGGCGGGGGTGGCCAGCTCCTCTCCCCGCTCCTTTTTTGGGCATGCCTTGGAACAAAACTCCCATCTTTTACTGGAGGCCCCCCGGTTCCAGCTGGGCTAGGCCTGCGCTGGGTTTGACGCCTCCGATCCGCCCCCACCTGGTACCAGCGTTTCCCACCCCAGACGTGTCTGTCCCTGCGACCTGGAGGCGGGGGGTGGGGGGGTGGGGGGAAGACCGGGTTCCCTGCTGTAGAACTGAGGGGAGCTGACTGTTTCAGCCCAAGGAGGGCGGAACGTTGATTTCTATGTAATTTTGTATTGATTTCAGAGAGGAAGGGAGAGAGGGGAGATGGAAATGTCAATGAAGAGAGAATCTTGGATTGGCTGCCTCCTGCACGCCCCCCCCCCCCCAAAAAAAGGGAGCCGGCCACTGGGGCGTGTGCCCTTGACCAGAATGGAACAAGGACCCTTCAGTCTACAGGCCCATGCTCTATCCACTGAACCAAATTGGCTAGGGCTCTCCTTAGCTATTTTTAAAATGCAGTTACCTGAACTCAGGCATAGATTTGGGAGGATAAATCACAACACTCTGCAAACTTGAAGGAGGAAACATTTAGTCTGGCCCGTGCTGATCAGCTCTATGGCAGTGGAAGGTCGGTCCTTCTCCTCACGTTTCCCAAAAACGGTGGCCACCGGTCGGGCCACTCCGTCCTAAAATAGGCACCCTAAAGAACCGCTGAGCCGGGCGGCCCGGGTTTAACTTGTGCCCCAATCTCTTCCTAAACATCGGACCGTGATTAAATCTTCCAACTGTTCTACGCCTCAGTCTCCCACGATGGCAAAATGAAGATAAAAATATCTGCGATGATTGGATGGGTAAAGCGAAATGCCCTAACTTGGTGTGCTGTTAGCTGCAAATACTATTTTTATCGCTCTGAATTCTGAACCTGTGCAGAGGCCCGAGTCCTTTCCATCCCAAAGACCCCCTCTGTGGGCAGCCTCACAGCTCTCCTGGAATTGGCTAGTCTACAGAGAAACCCTCTGAGAAACTGCTCTGAGCGGTTTAATCCATCCCAATCCGGCTGCCAAGCAAAGCAGGTGCTGTTACAGACCGGGCTCAAAACCCTTTAACTGGGTTAACCGACAGAAAGGACCCAGTTACTGTTCTAACTTCTGCCTTAGGGGGCCTTTTTAAAATACCCTGTTCCTTCTCCAGCCACACCAAAACGATCTAATAGAAAATAAGACGTATTGGGCATTGACTACATGGTAGGCAGGGTACCGATTTCTCTAAGTTCATAACTTCTGTCAGTCTTCAGAAAACCCATGTAAATTATCTCCATTCACAGATGAATGAATTTGCCTGAGGTCACACGTTAGGAAATGGTGGGGCCAGGATTTGAGACCAGACCTTTAAGGACTAACCACATACATGTAAGTAATACAGGATGTTGTAGAGATCATACTGCACTGCTGTTCCCTGCCGGAATGTGCAGGATTAAGGTCTGCCTTTTGAGTTTTGACCACCAGAGTCACATTATCTGTTGCACCTCCCCACACATGTTAGGGTCAAAAGTTAGGCTTACGTTCCTGCTCCTTCTGCATCTGGTGTTTTTCTTGGACTGTATGCACCTCTTCATTTAGTTAACCACTCAGTAAATGTTGCACATTGTTCTTCCTTACAGTGTTTTGAATCGTCACAACTGCCATTACTTACCTAGTTGTCTGGGTAGCATAGGGGTGTCGAACTCAATCAGAGAAGGGGCCAAAATCTAAAATCCAGCCTAAATTGCGGGCCGAATGGTTTACTGAACAGTCATAAACTGTCATTGTGATGGAAACGCAGCGGAGTTCAGTGATGACAGCGCTGTGTGGGCCACATTGCAAAGCCCGGCGGGACGAATTTGGCCCGCGGGCCTTGTGTTTGACACAGTGACTCACTGTAGCACATGGGCGTGGGTTTAAATCTTAGCTCTACCACTCACTTGTAGTCTGACAGAGGCCAGTTACTAACCTCTCTGTGCCTCCATTCGTGCATTCATTCGCTCATTTATTCCAGGTTCCAGAAAGCAGCAGTGAGTAAGACATAAGAATACCTGCTTTTCTGTAGCTTGCATCCTACTGAGGACAGAAAATAAATAATAGAAATAATTATACAGTATATTAGGAAGTGAACATGCTATGGAGAAAAATAAAGCAAGGAGAGCAGAAGTGTGCAAAATTGGGATTAGTTACAATCCTCAGAGGACTGTGAGGATTAGAGACAACCTAGGTGACATACAGAAAGTGTTGGGCACACTATGGGGACTCAAATGATGACTTTTTAGAACTCACTGCTTTATTCCTGCAGAGCTGACTTGCTGATGATTCTGTCTTGAATCTCCTCTTCCTGGCCCTGTCACCCAGCCCCCCAGGAAACATTCTCAAAAGAGTTCTAACAACTGGAAGAATCACAGGCTTCCTTATTTCTAGAGGCCCCAGTCCCCTGCTTAGGGTATGATTCCTGTGTAGAGGGCTGTGTCTATGTGCAGGGAAGCAATTTCCGAGATCCTGATCTCTCCATTCACAGGTGAATGAATTTGCCTGAGGTCACACGTTAGGAACTGGTGGGGCCAGGATTTGTATGTATGCGTGAGCTTGAATTCTCACCCTTGGGAAGCTGCTTAACAGTGTCTTTCGGTTGTGAATGTTTGTTTGACTACTGAAGAAGCATTCTGGCTTTGCAGGAATTTTCCTGCCTCAAGGACACTTGGGATTTAAGTGACCCAAAAGGGTTAGCATGACCTCTAACCTTCTTGGAGTAATCGCTATGAATACATTGACATTTATTAGCACGTCATGTGAAAATAGTGACACGGATTTTTAGCTAATTGGGAGAGCATGTTTTGAAAGGTCTGACTTAAAATGTAGTCATGTGGCATATGCAAGATTCACTTTTAGAAGCTCCAGGGAGCCCTCAAAGTGACAGTGGCTTTCAGAGCAGCTAAACCTCAGGATGGAATTTCACTGCATTTGAGAAATATCTTTGAAATAGTCTGCCTTGAAATAAAGGGCATATGGGGTTCAGAACTATTGCTGAGGTCTCTTGGCAGATTCCTAAAAAAAAAAAAAAAAAACAAAAAAAAAAGACGACAGCGAGTTATGTCTGATCAGCAGGAACTTAAAAAAGTCCCAAAGGACTGACAGTAGGGTAGGCTGTGCACAGAGAAAACCAAAAGGAGTTTCAAATATGTGGCCCAAATTAAAAGCATGACTGCAGATCCGGGTTTGCAATCAAACAGCGTCTCACTGGCAGCTTACGGAGCTTGCCCGGGGTGAGGGCTGCAGGGATAAGGCTTTTCCTGAACAGTTCTGGAGTGGGGAAAGGCAGGCTAGGTTAATGGCACTAACAGGTAAGCTGGTTGGTAGCAGTGCCAGAATCGCACACCCACAGGCGCATCTAGGGGGTGATTGGAGTACTCCTGTCAACGACAGGCACTTGGTAACATCTTGCCAGAATGATGCAACCAGCAGAAAAATGGGAACTAATGTGAAATTTAGACCTTGGCCCCAATCAGTCTGAGCTTTCAAAAAATGATGGTTTTCATCCCTGCTTTCTTGTGTTTCTGTTTTCCATTACCTGAGGGGATGCACATAATTAACATTCAGGATCCCCCTAGAGACTTTATCTAGAAGATTCTTTTGAAGCCTTTACCAAGAAATTTCATTTAAAGATAATAATGTTGATTTCTTCTCTCAAAAGCTTCATTCCAGCGGGAAAACATTGATTCTTCCCTCTAATCCTTTATTTTCACAAAGTAGGACATGTGAAAGCACATGTAAATGTGTATTCGAGAAGTCCCCAGGAAGCTTCGGCTCTGCAGGACAGCCAAACTCGCTCATTTTAGGAGGGCTGGGAGGAGAGGGGTGGACTACAGCACCTTGCTTCCCTTTGTACTGTTTCCAAGGACCCAGGGATGATTCTCAGTGGGAAATTGAGCTTATGTTGCCTTCCAGGGAGGCCAGAAAATAAATAATAGAAATAATTTTACAGTATATTAGGAAGTGAATATGCTATGGAGAAAAATAAAGCAAGGAGAGCAGAAGTGTTCATCTTTCCAGAACCTTCCTGGTCATGTTATGAAGCGTCATGTGTGCAGCCTCCTCGGCATTCGTCGTCGTGCATCTACACGCAGATTACTTGCCTCTGCCTCCATGTGTGAATCATGTTTTCTCTGGTGACTTTTCTTGTGTTCTTTTATTCACTCAGATATGTACAGCACAAATACCATTTCCCTGAAAATAAAACAGTGTCTTATATTAATTTTTTCTCCCAAAGTTGCACTAGATCTTATTTTCAGGGGATGTCTTATCTTTCCATGCCCTGGGTCTTATTTTCAGAGGATGTCTTATTTTCAGGGAAACACTGTAGCTGTTGTGTAAGAGAACTGATTACAATTCTAAGTAGGGACTGTTTCCTGTCAGCCCATTTTTGCCTTAGCAATCAGTGGAAATGTGTCTACATCACAAGGAATGCTTTTGCTCAGTTTATCAAACTTAAGAACTCGAAGATTCTCCAAGAATATGTTGGTGGAACCCCAGGTCCTCCACTCGCCAGTCTAAGCAATACTGCTTTAGGCCATTTGGTAGATAATTATAAAAGTGTGCATATATATATATATATATATATATATATATATATATATACACACACACACACACACACACACATACACCGTGTTTCCCCGAAAATAAAACATCCTCCGAAAATAAGACGTACTTACAGGTTTCCTTCTGAGTGAAATATAAGGCATCCCCCCGAAATAAGGCCCCCCAGGCTCTGTCTCAGAATGAAAATTAATTTACCATAAACTTTGTGAAACCTAAACTGCAAGAAGTTGTGACTTGGGTGAAGAATTCATGGGAGAAAATCACTGACAGTTGCATTGCAAGTGCACCGTGAGCAGGCTACCTTGACAAGAAGTACTCATTTAAAGACAGTGCTATTGCTAAACATGAGAGATTTGGTCCACTGATTCTGAAAGAAATGAAGTCACAAGAAATTCACCAGGAAATTCAGGAATTGGATTGTTATGATGATGTTCCAGAAGATGATGACATGATTGTCATTGAATAAATGAGTAAATTCTTGATACTGTAGGATTCACAGTTTGTCTGGTTTGTGTTGACAACTACTGTACTACCGTACTGTATACAGGTAATAAATTTCCTTTATTTTCATTTAACAGTAAATATGTACCGTATTCTTCTTCATGGAAAAATAAGACATCCCCTGAAAATAAGACCTAGTGCATCTTTGGGAGCAAAAATTAATGTAAGACACTGTCTTATTTTCGGGGAAACAGGATATATATTTATATTTATATTTATATTTATATTTATATTTATATTTATATATACACCCACACACATATATACACATAGACATTGAGTGACCAGATTATTATGATCTTTAAATACATAATAATCTGGTCACTCAGTGTGTATGTGTGTGTGTGTGTGTGTGTGTGTGTGTGTGTATCCTATCTAATAAAAGAGTAATATACATATTGACTATCACTCCAAGACACAAGATGGCTGCCCCCTATGGAGACACAAGATGGCCACCACAAGATGGCCTGCAAGGGAGGGCAGTTGTGGGGTGACCAGGCCTGCAGGGGATTGCAGTTGGGGGTGACCAGGCCTGCAGGGAAGGACAGTTAGGGGTGACCAGGCTGGCAGGAGAGGGCAGTAGGGGCAATTGGGCCAGCCAGGGAGCAGTTAGATGTCTATCAGGCTGGCAGGGGAGGACAGTTAGGGGTGACCAGGCTGGCAGGGGAGGGCAGTTATAGGCAATTGGGCCAGCCAGGGAGCAGCTAGATGTCAGGCTGGCAATGGAGTGGTTAAGGAATGATCAGACTGGCAGGCAGAAGTGGTTAGGAGCAATCAGGCAGAGGCAGGTGAGCAGTTGGGAGCCAGCAGTCCTGGATTGTGAGAGGGATGTCCTAGTGGGATCGGGCCAAAATGGGTGGTTGGAGATCCCTCAAGGGGTCCCAGATTGGAGAAGGTGCAGGCTGGACTGAGGGACCCTCTCCCCCACATGAATTTCATGCACTAAGCCTCTAGTATATATATTAGAGGCCCAGTGCATGAATTTGTGCATGGGTGGGGTCTGGCCAGCCTGGCCAGGGGGAGGGGACATGGGTGGTTGGCCGGCCTGCCTGCTTGTTGAGCTCCTGGTTTAGGGGACAATTTGTATATTAGCCTTTTATTATATAGGATATACACTGAGTGGCCAGATTATTATGCATTCAGAGATCATAAAAATCTGGCCACTCAGTGTGTGTGTGTGTGTTTGTGTGTGTATCCTATATCTTCCTATCTAATAAAAGAGCAATATGCAAATTAACTGCCTGTCACAAATATGGAGGCACCCATAGCTACAAGATGGTGGTGCCCAGTATCCTCAGCTCCTCCAGAGTCCCCTAGTCCTGGGGGGTGTGGGTGGGGAGGGCAGCCACTGAGAGTGGACAGAGTGAGCGTCCTGGCAGAATGCTTGCTTCATCGCAAGCTGCAGAGGTGATGGGCAAGGATGGGAGTGGGATGGGGATGGCACCGCAGTGGGGTGCTATGTGCAGATGGAGTGCCCAGCCCGTATAAGAGTGTGAGCTGTGGGGAATGGGGAGCCCCTATTTAGGAAATGGACTCGCAAAGAGGAGCAGTGCAGCCGCACACAGCCCACCCGCCTCCTGTGTAGGAATTCCAAGGAGAGAGAGGCAGGGAACATCAGGCTTCAGCTTTGCTTGCCACCTGTGGGCAGAGCCCCTTTCACTCTCTTGCCACAGACTCGCTCCTTCTAGGATGTGGATTAGCGGCCATCAGTTCTGGGTTAGAGGGCCACCGTCTCCCTTTCCAGGGCAGGCAGGACAAGTCAAGGAGGAATTAGGGTGATGCCCCCTTAAAGGGCCCAACTCCCTGAAAATCAGTCTCACCCAGCCCAAAAAGGATAAGTTCTTTGCTATTGTACTGATCTGTCAGTCACCTTTAAGCATCATTCACACATTAGACATGTTAGAACATTATAAAATAGATGTGTTTTTTTTAAACTTTATTTTCCAGATAAGGAGAGGTAGACTCAGTCTGAATCCACAGTTGTCTGGGTTGAAAGCTCCTCTTCAGTTCTGAAAGTATGGCAGTGGACAACCATTCCAACAATACTAGATGGTGAAAGAAGGAGCTGGAAATGAGACAAAAATCGTATGTGTGCACCTTCAAAGGAAAGTGGATGCTGCTCCAGTCTAGGCACTTTCTAGGAGACCTTAACAATTATCTGAAAGCTGCCATTCTGAAATAAGCAAAGGTGAGGAAGGAGTACAGGTAATGCAGAATGGAAACTGCAGTTTGGGCAGGTCAAGGACTTTGACCCAGCAATGCAATGCCATCGGAGTTGGGATGTTCTCAGATTCTCAGAACTTTGCAATTGATTTCTATTGTTTGCTTCAAGAAATTTCAAGCAAATGCCCTGAGATATTATATATCTATAATAATAAAAACATAATATGCTAATTAGACTGGATG